TTAATAAGGCATGATTGTAGCCCGCAGATTTCTGATTAAAATGATACCTTTACCAGCTCTACATGACTTTTCTTTGCAAAGTTATAGAATTTACAAGAAAAGCTCTAAATTAATTTTTTCTTTATTTTTGCAGCTTTGAGCAAGATTTTAGAGCTTTTCTTGTGGATCTGGAAATGTTGTCGATTACCTATTGTCCACTTAGGTTCAGCTCAAAAGCGATTGGACAGTTGGGGACCTTCCCTCGTGAGTTTCCAAAAATCCATGATTTTCCGTGTAAAATTATTTTATCTTCCAAGGTTATTTTTTCCTAAACTTTATACATATTTGGATTCAGCGCGAAAAACTGCATCGATTGACATATCTTAGAACACTTTTCAAGTCGATGGAATTTTTGATAAAATTTTCGCTTAGGTTTTTCATAGACTTTTTCTTTTGCGCCGTCCGCCCGGAATGACCTTAAACTATGTTTATAATGTTGGATCACGGTACTGTTATAGTAAGTGGAAAAGGTAAGACCTTAGCATCAACGGATCTGTGTTTCGGCGATTTGTTACGGACTCCCGCACAGTGGGCATGCAGGCGGACATCTGGAAAAAAATCGGAAGTAAGCTTTTTCGAAATTCAGATAGCCTCATAAATACTCCAAAGCCGCGGCTATCTAATGGCGAAATTTTTTGCTCCGGCTGACGAATTTCCGGAGGAAACCCATAAGTGAAAAAAGGCCCGCTAAAAAGCGTCTTTCACCGGGAAATTTTTTTTGTTATTTTGGGCTATATGGCAAGTTATGAGGTATAGATATTCGGAATCTGCATTTTTTCGACTAAATTTTTGAAAAAAATATTGTCTCAGTTAAGTGGTAAGAAGAAAATTGGTGTTTTCCTAAACGGAAGAGTGTTTCCGATTACCGTCTCCAGTGCAGTAAAAATCCTTAATTTTCCTAAAGTCCAACTCGACTTCAAATTACATCAAAATGTTTGTACACCATATTATGCGAAAAATAATCATTTATTAACTCAACAAAACGAAATGTTCGCCTGCTCTATGGAAAAATGTCCACGGTATTATGGAACCACAACCAGAAATGGATCGATAAAACAGGTTTTATTTACAGTGAAATCTAATGGTTAAGTGATACAAAAAAGTGAAAATAAAAAAATTTTTATTATTATAAATCCGTTCTAACATTATTAGATTTCCTTTTAGAAATATCACAATTCTCTGTTAAATATCTCTGTGCGTCTTGTTCAACTTCGATTAATTTATTCTTTTCAGCATTATTTGTTTTTTGTTTATCCAAACAACTATCATAAGCATTTTGTTTTTGATTTAGACAATGGGCATTAAAAGAACATCTGTTACCTTTAATTTTTGTACAGGGCACAAAAAGAGCAACAACTGGTGGTGGACATTCTTCACCGATAATTTCTTCACTACAAATTTTACAATCTTCAGAAGTAATATCACACGGATTATTAATAATGCTTTTTAATTCAGCATTAATTCGTTTTGATTAGGTATGTTACAAACCCAAACCC